TGCTCCCTTCCCCCCCCCCCCCCCCACTTCACAGCCCACTGTACCTATCCCCCCCCCCAAAGAAAAACATCGGCGAACGAAACTGCGGTAGCTACAGCCACTGTACGATGAGTAGTTATTTATTACAGCTGACAATGATGATGCAAAAATGAATGAGTCTCTTCCAAATGCTCCACCATCAGATACAAACTCATACTGGAGATTGCCACCCGCGGTTATTACAGCTGACAATGATGATGCAAAAATGAATGAGTCTCTTCCAAATGCTCCACCATCAGATACAAACTCATACTGGAACGAGATTGCCACCTCTTTGCATAGTGTTGGGAATTTAGCCTGTGGCACCGCACTACCAGGCGCACTCAAGCATTAGATATCAGACTGAACGGTGGCACTGCTTAAATCACGGAGAAATATCCCAGCCGGCCCCGAATATAACTTGATACGACGAATTATCAGACGTCAAGTGAAGCGACCCACAATTCGTGTCCCTGGATTTCCAAGGCGCTTTTGACTCGGTTGGCCGGTCTGTTCTGCTTGACACGCTGGCCCACCAAGGAATGTCCCGGAAGTTCGTGAACATAATAAGCCATTCGTATTCCCAGACTTCCAGACGCGTGAGAGTATACGACGAGCTCTCGAAAAGCTTCCGCACACAAAGTAGTGTCTGTCAGGGATGCCCACTCTCCCCATTCCTGTTTAGCTTTGTGATCGATGAAATCATGAGACGAACTCTGGAAGGTCTCCAAAACCCCGGTGTTTAAACAGCCTGTGACGAAAACCTTGTCAATCTGGAATATGCAGACGACATCGTTCTCATCTTCGAAGAGGAGAAGGCGCAAGCATTCTTGGATGAACTGACCAGTCATCCTCTCCTTTGATATACACTTTGCACCCACAAAGTGTAAGGTCATGCAGTCACTGAACACGCCACTTACAAACCGTGGGTAAGCACTCGAAGTTGTGAAGCGTTTTACGTATCTTCGAAGTTGTATTATTTCCAACTGTAGTGTGACGGATGAGGTCTATGCACGAATCTGCAAGGCTCGAATGGCGTTTGCTAATTTGGGACACTTATAACGTCAAAGTGGTGTATACCTGAATCTCAAGGGATATGTGAATCAAGCTACAGAGCCGGCTATTTTGTTGTATGGTTGTGAGATGGCTTATTCGAGCAGTGGAACTGAGACGTCTTCAGGTGTTTGACAATCATAGTTTCAGAACCATACCTCGTGTGGGCTGATGTTGGCGAATCCGTAACGAAGCAGTTAGAAAGCCAGTTTTCGGTTGTGCAACGGATACCTCCATTGAAGACTGTGTCCAGAAGCAGAAGCTGTGTTGTCTGGGACATGTGTTGCATATGCCTAGCCATCATTGGCCGAAGAGAGCGCAGAGGGGTAGCCAATCCGTGACTTGAGAGAGGGATATGAAAGAAATCACGAAGCGTTTGGGTGCTGTCGGTGCTACACGCCTCTCAGGATGGGGACCGCGTGACTCCCACTGCACCTGGTTGGAGACGCTGCAAGATATGTCTGCCAACCGAAGTCAGTGGCGATCTTATTGCCAGTTTCTATCTAGATTGCCTGAATGAGTGCTTGGAGTGTAGGCACCCCGAAATGATCGTAATAAGCCAGCACTGGGTACCTTTCCGGTCCAACTTTATTCTTTTCTTCACAATAAGGCTTTCAAATAAATCATGGTTGTACGGCAGCAAAGCATCCGTGTTGAACACTGATGTCATGCTATCGATGATGATGAGGATGAGCTCTTCTTGGATCTGACCCCGTGGTAATGTAAACAATACTAAATAGCCTAAATAATTACGCCTCATGGTTCGGCGTAGGCTTTACATCGGGAAAGTGTAAAGTGCTACTGCAAGATTGGGTGGGCTCGAAGCTTAGCCTTATGTTTGCGGATGAACCGATTGAGGTAGTAGACAAATTTGTTAACCTGGACAGCTGTATCAGTCCCGGTGGTCTCACGAAAGATGAAATTTCCATCCGGATTAGGAAAGCCAGAGCAGCTTTTGTGAACCTGCGTCACCTGTGGCGTAGGCGTGAAGCCAGCTTATCCGTCAGGGATCGGGTTTGCAATGCTGCGGCGCGCCCCATATTACGATACGGATCAGAGACCTAGCCGCTGCGCGCCGAGGACGTCAAAAGACTTTCAATGTTTGACCATCGATGTCTTCTGAGCATTACCCGAGTTTGGTCGGAACACCGGATAAGCAATGCTGAAATAAGCCGAATGGTATTTGAAAGAAATAACTCACTCTAGACAGATGAACTGGTCACACTACATAGGTTGCGCTGGCTTGGCCACGTGCTGCGTATGCCAGTCGACCGAATCCCTCGAAGGGTTTTTTTCGCTCAAACACATGAAGGGTGGAAACGAGCCGGGGGAGGTCAAACAATGACTTGGCAGCGAAGTATGAAAGCCATTACCAGCAAACCCAACTGAGCTGGTCATTGCCCTTTTCCTGGATGAGGATCTCGGGACACATAAATGGTTAGAGACATTGTCAGACATGGCCCAGTCGCGCTCGTGCATCCAGGCTATTGCCTTCAGTGCATAGCTCCCTTCTCAATGCTCCACTTAGCAGTCCACTGACAATGCTATATTTACGCACCAACTTATCAGCTCTCGCCCCCAGTGCGCAGCTACCTACTCCACCTCCCCAAATCATCGGTGAAGGAAACTGGCAGCTGCAACCACTGTGTGACAAGCACGCGGTTCTTACAGCTGAAAATGAGAATGATGAGGATCTGCCGTTGTGCTTCCGATTCGAGGAGTAATATTATCTCCAGTCATACCATCGGAACTTAGACGGCTACCCAGGTAAACAACTCTATTTACCACGTCGATTGGCTCGCTATCACGCATGGAATTTGGGTCTGATACTACCCAGTCATGTAGCAGCACTTTACATTTGGCAGGTGTGAAGCGCATGCAAAACCGTGTGGCAGAGTTATTAAGGTTAGTTAAAAAGCACCCACCTCAACGCCAGAACAACAGTCCGTTGGAGCATACGCTGACTCTACAAACAAGAACCGTTTTATACATCGAAAATCATTGATCTTTGTTGAGCTGGATAAATGGACGGTTCAGAGACGACCATTTACTGGGACCCACTCCAGCAGAGCACTTGCAGCTCCCACGCGATATATATCATGTCATCACTTCTCGATTACCGGACGTACGGCAATAATTCTTGCTTTTCTGAGACGCATAACCACGCCTTAGTCTTGTATGCGAGTTTCTTAGACAAAGCATGCATCAATTTTAGGGGAGTATCAGTTTTGAGCGAGCACTGCTAATTCGACAGAGTACGGACGTTAAAAGCCCCAATGTAGAATAGATCTTATGGATTCACCAAAGTGTCATCTTGTCTACTTGGAATAGACAGATTGGAACATAAATTACATTTGAGATGACTGAAAACCAAACGATGCAGTGTTACGTGGAATCCGACAGCGACAACAGGTTACAGCTCCCACTTAGGCGCCGCTACGGCCGAAAATCACACGACCAAGGCGATTGGACAAAAGAACGGTCAACTTTCCAGTCCATCATATAGGCGAGCTGTGATTGGCCGAAGGTCCGCGCCCACAGCCACTTCTGATCCAGTATCTTCCCAGTGTCGATGGGTGTTGGGTCTTATTCATGGACACTTCCCGTAGCCTCCAACTTTAAAAGCCCTCACCACGAGGCAGCAGACACTAGGATTTGCCTGGCCTACCACTCCTGGAAATGACTCAATATTCAAGGATTGAGAGAGTGGCGCACAAATCGGGGCTTTTGCCCAAGCTTCTCAGGTCGGGTGTGTTCTCTTCGCTCAGCTGCTCCCGTTATTCTGAAAGGCACATGCGAAAAAGGTGAAGCATTGCTATATACGCCGGTCAGACGTCAGGTGTTAATGATCACCGTGGGGAGATATCCAAAGCCGCACATGACGCCAGGACTACTTCCTGCATTAAAAACCAGCCAGCAACTTTCAAGCAGTGGATCTCTGATGGAGCCACGGTGACCCATGCTTCAAAAAATTTAGTGCATCATTATTTCTCCTCAAACCCTTGTGTCTTGCGTTTAGGCCCTTCGGCAACTTTTGCACTGCGGATCATAAAAATCCTCCTGCCTAAGCTGGAGAGGTCTTGGACTCAACATGTCGCCACACCTGCATGATGCCGCGCGGGAAAACTACCATCCCCACTGGATTTGTTTATCACCAGCGAAAGACACTTTGATCAAGTTTCAATTGTCACTCCACTGAGACGTATTGACAACTGTGTGCTGACGCTTAATTTCATCAGACACTGCGCCAGAAATCTTGAAAATCAAAAGTCTACTCGAAACGTCTGCTGTGCATACTTCTCAGGAGGGTGCAGCTTTCGTGATAGATTTTAACAGGAACCAGCTTCAATGGAGGAGTTACATTGGACCACTGTTTGAAAAATCCACGAGGACGACGCCATGCTAGTCCCGAGGAAACTAGCACACAGTCGGGTGGACCAAAATCTGCCTAAATTGATTTGACGTTCTCCGGAAAATAGGTCAAAAACATTTTTCAAAACGATACCTACATGTGACACGGAGGACGAGATGGAATTCCATACAATGTGGAACCACTGAAAGTCAGGCCTCCGCCAGCAGAAGATGCGCAAAAATGCCACGACATTAGACATCGAGGAAAAAATGTGTTGCCTGAATACACGGGAAACCTCCCCATCCACCTTGGCGGACAGACAGTTGGCTACCGAGAGTGACCAACCACTGGTACTTGAAGTATACGGGGAACGGCATTCATGCCTATATTCCACCTTAGTGGCCTTGTCACATCCAAGCCATAGAAGACCCAACTATAAGCGCCCTCTAACCAACTCGGTCCTTACGGAGAGGATATTCATCAATTCTCGTAAAAGAGACCCCGTCAACTCACTGAGACCAGAAGAAGTCCATTCAATTGAAGGAAAAGCAAAAATGCCACGACATTAGACATCGAGGAAAAAATGTGTTGCCTGAATACACGGGAAACCTCCCCATCCACCTTGGCGGACAGACAGTTGGCTACCGAGAGTGACCAACCACTGGTACTTGAAGTATACGGGGAACGGCATTCATGCCTATATTCCACCTTAGTGGCCTTGTCACATCCAAGCCATAGAAGACCCAACTATAAGCGCCCTCTAACCAACTCGGTCCTTACGGAGAGGATATTCATCAATTCTCGTAAAAGAGACCCCGTCAACTCACTGAGACCAGAAGAAGTCCATTCAACGATCTTGAAGGAAAAGTTGCTCACACTAGCAAAGCATTTCTACCTAATGTTTCGTCACTCGCTCGACGAAGGCAAAATTCCTTCCGCCCGGAGGGAAG